CAAGTGCTCCAAGTGCTCCTCCCCAACCATCGTGGTGGGGGCGGAGGCCGCGTTCGCCACCCCACGAGATGTGGTCTCCTTGCCGTGGGCGCCAACGACAGCCCCCCCTCCTCCGTCCCGTCCGTTCCTGCGCGCTCCCTTGCCTGCCCTCCAGCTCCCCTCGTGTATCGTATCAGGGTAAGTCTCTAGATGCCGGGGGTCCGATGCGGCCCAACGACCCCGATGCCTGCATGGGCGCTGCTGTACATCTTGGCGCAGACGATCCGCTCCGATTTCGACTCCGTGCCGATGCATCCCGATTCGACGCACGCTCCGGGTCGAATCGGTCTGCGGATCCGAGGCTCAGCCAGGCCCACGATGCGGACACGTCGCCTCAGAGCGCTCCGGAATGCCATCAGGGCACGGTGTGGGGCGTTCTCGGACGGTCGCGGCGCTCGATGCGTCCTTTCGGACCCGCCGGCTCCCGGAGGTGCCCAGCGTGTCGTCTTCCGAACCGGCCCTCGTGCCGCTGCGGTGCCACGTGCCGGCCTCGTCCCACCCCCGGGGGCCTGCCGGGTGTCCTCCTCGGTGCCCATGCCGCCGCGACGTCGGGTTTCTCGGCGCAGCGTGGCTCCCCAGTGGTCTGGGCCTGTGGTCAGGGACGGGCGTTTCATCCCGAGCCGTCCTTGAGGTCCCCGAGGCCCAGTGAGGGCCCCTGGAGACCGAAGACAGCCCCAAACTTGTTCTCTTCGATTTGTTCACGAGGGACCCTTCCTTTCAGGAGGAAGAGTTCTCGTCCTCGGGTGGACTCAGGTTGAAGAGGAGGAGATTGAGCTCCTCCTCTTTAGGGCGGAGGAGGAGGACTAGGAGGGTGAGGAGGACGAGCCGAACGGAATGCCCGAAGGGAGAGTGCACAGCATTAAATACCTGTGCTAACACAGGGTCGCTTGCCTCTGGCGGCTTCTCTAGTACGGTAGGGGCGTTCGCTGAGGAATGCCCCCCAGGAGGCTTCAGCCCCTGGAGGATAGTTCGTCCGACGAGGGCGGCGGTGATACCCACTGCCAAGCCTCAATCGGTTTTCACCGGCTCTCAGACCCTGGCTTCCTTGTCCAAGGGTTTTATATCTACTGCCCTCACCGTACGAATTCTCTCGACGAGAGCGGCCTTACGCTGCTCGTGAGAGGGGGTTGTCCCTGGGGCCGAAAGCGATCCATTGACCACCGTCAGGTCTGGGGTCACCGAAGACTCCGAGGGGGCTGGACAAATTGGCAGTTTTCGCAGTTTCCGTAGTTTTGTACTTTTGATATTCTCCAGGCCTCTGGATCGGATGTGCTTCGACTGGAGGTCTGCACGACACCTCCGACCGATGATGGGCAAGCTTCTTAAGCGACGTAGACCGATCCAGAAGCTCCTCCAACCGACGGTTGGGCAGCGCCCCCTGGAAAAACGGTTTCTCGCCTGACGACCTCTGCGGGTGGGAGGTTTTACAGGGCCTAGCCAATTCAATTGCTCTACCTTGGGACCTGCCCCCGCACTTAGGACTGTTCCAGGTCTGCATTTCACGGACTCCATCATCCTAACTTGCGCCAGCCTTTCAAGCCGTGCCAGCTGCGACGACGGGGTTCTCCTTGGGATCCCTGAGCAGCTTCTGGACAAAGGTTTGGACTCTTTGGCAGCCATTTAACTCGAGCGTGCTCTCCTGAACTGCTCCGAACTGAAGGCACTTCGCGCAACGCCAACCCGCATCGCTGCCGATCCACTGGTGTCAGTGCACCTTCCGACGAGACTTGGGGCCATAGGTTGACTGGGCGCGGATCCACCTGGAATGTGCATCAAAGAGCAGCATCACACAGGATACAAACTTAAAATGCTGCGTCGCCCTGTCCTCAGCGAGAGACAAACTCTGAAGAAAGATTGGGTCAGTCCTCGCATGTCGTTGCACAGCTATCTCCACATGGTATCGACGACCGAATTGGCAACATCATGTTCTCTCTTCAGCTGAGGCAAACTGTCGATAAACTCTTGGGATCGATGGGCTTTGATTTGCCTCGCCTGCTGAATCCTCGCCGGTCCCTGAAGGTTGGGATCGAATTCGACTCCTGCAAACTTGCTCGAGGCGGCCGATTGCTGCTGTACAGTCTGATGTGTGACTTGTACTACCGCCGTGCCTTCTGCACCAAGGACAGTTGGTCGGTTTGCCATCTGCCCTCGCAGAGCGATGCCAACGTGCTCAGACTAGCAGGCGTCTGAGGAAAAGTGCCGTGGACGACCCCACGCATGACAGAAACTGGATCTGGCTCCTGAGCGCTGGCAGGGAAGATCCCGACCGACCATCCAGCCTTCTGTAACGCCTGGATATGAGGCTTCGTGCAGGAGCCGTCCGAAACGAGCCTGAATACAGGTTCGGAAGATAGATCGGCAAGCTGCTCGGGATCCGTTTTGAGTAGCCTGCCCGAGACATCACACATCTCAGCCTCGGAACACGTGAAAGGCTTGGGTAGCCCACCATCGGGGTACAACGAAAAGTCCACTGGTAAAAATCTCAGGCTCGGGCTGCTCGAGAGCCGCATCCAAAAACTCAGGCGTAATGGTAGCCTCCGCGCGTGCCCGCTGGAAGTGTAGCTCCTCCTAGGTGGAGGGTGAGGAGGAGGAGGAGGAGGAGGAGGAGGAGGAGAAAGAGGAAGAGGAAGAGGAGCAGGAGGAGGAGGTGGATGATGATGATGCTGCTGATGGTGATGATGATGCTGTTGATGATGCTGATGATGATGACGACGACGATGATGATGATGATGATGATGATGATGATGATGATGATGATAGTGATGATGATGATGATGATGATGATGATGATGATGATGATGATGATGATGATGATGATGATGATGAGATGATGATGATGATGATGGAGGAGGAGGAGGAGGAGAGGTGGAGGAGGAGCTCCTAGGTGGATGAGGAGGAGCTCCTGTTCCGTCGAGATGTCCCCACGGCGCGAGGATGTCTGGGTCTCTCTTGGAGCCTGGGCACCCCGCCGCCCCCTGAGGACGCCCTTCTCCCGTGCATCGAGCGCAACGGCCCCGGCGGCAACGAGCAGCTCCTCTCCGGCCTGATGGAGTGGGGCGCGCGCGCGCGAGCCGAACTCGGGGGCCCCCAAACGTCGCGGTGACAGCAACGAATGTCGAGGCAGTGGGGAGTGCGGTGGCGGACCGTGCGGTGAGGTCGTTGGGGATTCTGGGGTCACCACACGGGCCGTACCGAACGGTAGTGGGGCCTCCCGAGAGGAAGAGACTCTATTTTTCACACACATACACTCACGCACGCACGCACGCACGCACGCACACAAACACACAAGCACACAAGCACACAAACACACAAACACACAAACACACAATCACACAAACACACAAACACACAAACACACAAACACACAAACACACAAACACACAAACACACAAACACACAAACACACAACACACGAACACACAAACACACAAACACGCAACCACACAAACACACAAACACACAAACACACAAACACACAATCACACAAACACACAAACACACAAACACACAAACACACAAACACACAAACACACAAACACACAAACACACAAACACACAAACACACAAACACACAATGACACAAACACACACAATCACACAATCACACAAACACACACAAACACACACAAACACACACACACAAACACACAAGTACACAAACACACAAGCACACAAACACACAATCCCCCACACACACGTATACATACAGATGGAGAGATAATGTGAGAGAGAGAGAGAGAAACGGAGGACGCATATCCAGACACCATGCTGTTTGACAGGCCTAACTGGCGGCGTGCCGAACGAGCTCCAGACTGGAGAGGGGAAGGGATGCGGTCAGGAGCTTTCGTTTGCACAGGCCGTTGAGGGGAGGACGGATGAGGGGGAGGAGGAGGAGGAGGAGGAGGAGGAGGAGGAGGAGGAGGAGGAGGAGGTGGAGGAGATGACTTCTGTAGAAGATCTGCAATCGGATTCCGAAGGGGGTGCAGCCGATTCTGCTTCGCGGGTCACGCTTCGCGTATCCCCACCAGTCCGTTCAAAAACCCTTGTAGGGATCCTACCCATGAGAACACATATAGTGAAGCAAAGCTCGGCGGATCCATGGAGAGTGGGGACGAGGGGAGGAGGAGGAGGAGGAGGAGGAGGAGGAGGAGGAGGAGGAGGAGGAGGAGGAGGAGGAGGAGGATGAGCAGGAGGAGGAGGAGGAGGAGGAGGAGGTGGAGGAGGGACGCTCTTGGGCGCTATTGGGGCAGATCTGGGGCTCTCTGTGGGCCCTCTTGGAGGGCCTCTTGAAGTCACCATGCGTCCCTCCCCCTGGGGCCATCAAAATCGCTTATTGGGGCCCTCGTGGGGCGGTCTTGGGCCGCTCTTGGGTGCCTTTGGGGGGACCACGTGGGGCCCTCTTGGGCCTCAATTGGGCCATCTTGGGGCCACCTTGAGGCCTCACAAATCAGTGATTTTACATAGGGGGCCCCGGGGCTCCAAGAGCAATTGGGAACCGTCTTGTGGCCCTTGTCTGGCCTCTTGGAGGTATGTCGGAAGCTATCTTGAACCTTGTTCGACTATCTTCAACCGCCTTGGAGGCCATCTTGGAGCATCGGAGGCCATCTTGGAGCCGTCTTGGGCCATCTTGGGCGCTCTCACCCCTCCGCCCCCCCCGCCCCCCGGTCCAGACCCAGGCGGCAGAGCGGCGGCTGCGCGGGACAGGGCGGCGCCCGCTCGCGGGCCGCGGGAGAGGGGGGGGGGAGCAGGAGGAGGAGGCCGCGGGCTGGAGGAGGCCGCGTGGCTGGCGGCGGGGGAGGACCAGCTTGGTCAGGGGGGCGCGCTCGTCGCAGCTGACGTCGCCATAGACGCGCGCATCATCAGGCAGGGCCAGGCCCCCCCTTACGGAGAGTGCTTCATGGACCTCGCGGACGCCTTTTGACACCGCCTACCCCCCGGCCGTCATTCTCGACCTCCGCGACATGGCCCGCCTGGAGGGCGAGGACCTAGCGCGTCCAGCCATGGTCGACGACTCCTCAGTCAGCGTCACCTCCGGCCACGTCGCTGCTGCGCCACAGCCCCTCACCGCAAGCATGCTGGAGGTCAGACGGTTCGCGCCGGCCATCTTAGCGTGCTCAGCCAGGCGCTTCCCGGTCGCCATCGCGGCGGCCCACCTCGGCGTAGGCTTCGACCCGCCAGGGGAGGCTGTGCGCGCATTTCACCTGAGCCGCCAGGGCAGGGGCGACGCGACCGAGCCCGACCGCGCGGAGGCCGAGGAGGCGGCGAGGGCGGCAGGGGAAAAGAGCTGGGACCAGGTCATGACCGAGGCCACCACCGCCGCCGATAGGCTCTGGATCGTCGACGCCGCGGCCCTCACGAATCTGGGCCTCGCGCAGTTTATGGACGACAACGCCCTTCGATCCTCTTCATGGGGGCACAGGCGGTGGACGCGCGGGCGCTGCAGGCCGCAGCGGGCAGCTTGCGTGCGGAGATCCGCTACGTGCCGGACAAGACGGAGTGCTTGGCAGAGGGTTTCTGAACCCGCCTCTCGCACGGTGGCGCGCAGTACGTCGATGAGCACACGTACGTCGGCGCCCCCATGGACGAAGGAGCGCACATGGCGCTGATGCAGCATGTCGAGCGCGCAGCAGGGCGGGGCTGGATGGCTACTTCACGGCCCCAGAGCTCCTCGGGCTGCCCATGACGGTGCCATGACGGTGGCCATCCGCGCGCTGGATGCGAGAGTCCGACCGCAGGCGCGTTGGGCGGCGCACCTCCTCATCGTCCGCCACGGCTGGGAGGCGCGGCTGAATGCCGTCTAGGACCCGGCCAGCCGCCTCCTCGACATCGACACGCCTATGCCGAGGATCTCCCTCCTCTGGGAGCTCGGTTTCCCATAGTGGCTATACACTCAGACCCTCAGGGCAGCGGCGGCATTGGCGGCCCGGCGGCCCGGATCGAACGCGCTGGGGTTGCAGCTGGGTTGCGCGCGTCGCGTCTCCGACAGCCCCTATGCGGACGCTGCGCGCCTACCTGAAGGAATGCGGCATCCCAGAGTATTCGGCGTGGTGCCTCCACAGGTATCAGGAGCCCGTGCACGCGGCGGCCCGGGCGGAGGAAGCTGCGCATTCGCACATGCCTCATGGAGGCGGTCGACCCCCAGCTGGGATGGCGCGGCCGCGAGGCGGCCGCCTGCCCGCCGCGGGGCGACGGCGCGGCGCTCCAGGCGGCGACCACGACAACGGCCCCGTGGTCAGCCATCCGGGCGTGGGCACAGCTGCGCCTCCATTGCCGCCTCACCACGCACACGACCGCCTCCAGAGTCACGCGCGCCTGGTGCGAGGAGGTCATCTCCCGCGACGGACTCCACCCTCTAGAAGGGTGCCGCCATGCCGAGAAGGCGGCCCGCGAGCTCGCGCGCGGCCCGACTTGGGCGGAGTCCCCGCCGGCGGCCATGCACTGGGCTGCTCGCGGGCCTGGACATCGAGGCGGGTGTGGTGGTCGCCGAGAACTTGGCGCGGGAGGTCCACGCCGCGGCGACAAGTCCGGGCACGGCGTGAGCCGCAGCCTCTGGCGTCGCCCAGACGCGGCCCCGCCCCCACCTACGCCCCGCCGCCGCTACTAGGCGCCCTGGCCAGGCCCTGGGCCGCTAGGCGCCGCTGACGGGCCGCCAGAGGCCGTTCTAGGCGCCGCTGCCGCCGCCGGCTGGCCAGCACCTGTGCTGAGCCTGCGGGCCCCCCCGCGCCGCGCTGGGCGGCGCCCCGCGCCGCTGCCTGGGGTCCCAGCGAAAAGGTCCCCCGTGAGCGTCCAGTCCTGCGTCGGGGCAAAGTCGCATTCTAAATGGGCGAACCCTCGGCCAGTCGCTGGCAGTGCCACGGAACCAATATAACATTCATCATTTAAAAGTGTGCGCCTGCCTGGCGAACACCCAGCGGCACCAGGCGCCGGCGCCGCGGAAACACAAACGAGGAGGAGGAGGAGGAGGAGGAGGAGGAGGAGGAGGAGGGGAGGAGGAAGGGGGAGGAGGGGGGGAGGATGAGGAGGAAAAGGAAAAGGGGAGGACCGGGAGAAAAACTATATAATCAATGACACGCCGCCGTCGGGGGCCCGTCAGCGTGTTGTTTCTCTGCTTTTCGTCCGTAGATTGGTGCTTCTTTCGCCGACGGGTCCCCCACGGCGGCGTGCCATTGATATCGTTGTTGCTGCCCCAATGGAGGCGAGGCGGTTTACGCAGGAGGAGGAGGAGAAGGAGGATTAAACGGAGGAGGAGGAGGAGGAGGAGGAGGAGGAGGAGGAGGAGGAGGAGGAGGAGGAGGAGGAGGAGGAGGAGGAGGAGGAGGAGGAGGAGGGTGAGGGCAGGACTACCTCGGCAGCTGCGTGCTGGTCTGGATTGCGTTCCGCCTGCTGCCCTATTCGCGCAAGGCTCCGCGCTGGGGACCCGCTCCGCCTCGGGGCCCGCAGGACCGCCAGTGGCGGACAGATGCAGCACGCTGTCCACGGACCAACGTGATTGTTTCGCTGCGATCGCAGACCTGTCGGCGGCGTGCCCGCGGCGCCGTGTCGCGACCGCGCGGTGCAGGAGGTGGTGCGCTTTCGCTGGGGGGTGTCGCTTGGGCTCCGGCCCGGCCGTTCGACCCCCGCCGGGGCGTAGGTCGGCCATGGTGGCGGGCAGCAAAAGAGGGTCCCGAGCGAAGGCGCCGCCCCAGGCAGCCACGCCGTGATTTCGAGAGGGCGAACCGACCGCAGTGCCGCCACGAAAGACGAGGGGGCACCCGGGGGAAAAAGGTCACGAGGTGCTTGTGTTGCCGCCTTCGGCCTCCCAGGGCCTCTCCCGGGCCGCGGGGCCGTCAGGAAAGTTTTGCTTCTGCGCAAGGTGCGTCTGCAGGAACACCGCGTGTGAACGTGCGTACGGCGACGCGTTCAGCCAAGACTATGTACTATGTCCTCCCGGGCCAGGAGGGTAGGCGCGAGGGATGCAGTGGTCAAAGCAGCGAACGAGTGCACGCAGGGGCCGCCAGGAAAACATCTAACACATCCTGGACGAGAAGCTGGTCCCGGGGGAAGCCCGGGGGGTCACTCCTACCGAGACGGGTATACCCAGTGTCCCGTGCTTCGACAACCCGCAGGAAGGGGGCAGGAAAATGGCAGGCGAACGCCATTCCACGTGCGGGAGGGCGCAGGAAAGAGGCAGGAGGGCGCCAGATTCCTGCATCGACCATCCCCCTTTCTGCTGGGCGCCCATCAGCTCGTCATTGTGGCGCGGCGGTGCCCAGGGTTCCGTTCCCCTCGGGGGCCCCTTGCCCCCGTGCCCTGGTGAAGAAGGCCGAGCGGGTGGTGCTTCGCCAGGAGGCAGTGGCGCGCTGTGCCGGGAACGCGCCCGATGCACGTTGCAACACTCCGTGCACGGGTGTTGTTCGTCTGCTGCACTGAAGAAGTCGGTGCGCGGCCTTCGGGGGAGGGCGAATCCAAGCGTGCATGCCGCCACTCTCGGATCGAGCGCAGCGTTTGGCAGACTGCGTTGTGCGCCGACCGCCTCGTGTTATGTTTGTGTTCGTTGTTGTTGTTTTTGCCTTGGCATCGCTCGGACGTGTGTATTTTTCTCGGCAAGGACAGTCGAGGAGCATCTTTGCGGAACGATGCACGCACGACGCCGAAACATGCAGAGGACATGGGCGTCTGAGCGATGGCGAGTTGCGTGTAGCCGACATGTCGGGACTCGATACGCTCGGACATGTTCACGTTGGTTTGCCAAGCAGTATGTTGTGTCCGTAAGTAGGGTGTCGCATCACACCAGACGGGGTTCAATCGTGTATCATGTAGTGCCGTATGTGCATGTTGGGCCATGACATGCCGTATCGTGATATAACGCGCCGTTGGCACGATGGTGTGTGTGTGTGTGTGTGCGTGCGTGCGTGCGTGCGCGCGCGTGTGTGTGTGTGTGTGCGTGTGTGTGTGTGTGTGTGTGTGTGTGTGTGTGTGTGTGTCTGTGTGTTTGTTTGTATGTACAGGGGTCATGGACGCCAGAGCACACGCACGGCGCAGCAAAGAACCGCTGCCAACATGCTCCCTTCCATGGCATACTGGGGGGGCCTCTGGGGGCCCTTTTGAGCTGTCCCGGGGCGTCCCGCGGCCCATTGAGAGCGCTCGTGGAGAGGTGGCGCTCTGTGGATGCGCTCTGGGGCCGCCTTCGCGGCCCCTTCTTGGGCCGTATTCCCACGAAAAGCTCTCTTGTGCCGTCTTGGCGTGGTCGGTCGCTGCAGACTCCTGCTTTGCGTTGTCCATGATTCATCATGACACCCGGTGCCCAGCAGCCGGCATGCATTTCTAGAACACGGGAGCGCGTGGAGCGAACGCAAAGGTTTCAATCGAGAGTCGTGAGACACTGGAAATCCGATGTCTCAGGCTATCAGCAAGACGAGAAAGTCACATGTATGTCGGTCTGGGCGCAGTGCTGCATCAAGACCTTGCGATCTCTGGCCCTGCATTTTGACTTGCTGTCTCCAGGGAGTCACTCAAGCAGTGGCCAAGCGTCCTGGCGTGCCTATAGGCCTACCAAACAATGTTCTAATAACCTTTTGCGATTTCTACGAAATGTTCTTAGGACATTTCTGGCTGGGACTGTCTTGTTTTGACACATCGGTTTTACGCTCTGAGAACATTGTTTTTGTTTTTCGAAGAGTTTTGGGTTCTACGAACATTTCGTGGCAGGACTATAGGAATGCCGGGACGGTCGGTCCCTGCTCAAGTCATGCCAGCCAGAGGCTTTGTTTCTGCCTGTGGGCGCCGTCTGCTGCACCCCAGGCCGTGCAGACGCGCTTCGTGGGCCGCCACGACGAGGAGGTGCCCGCGGAGTCCGACGAGGAGCAGGAGCGTCCGTCGAACACACAACGATAACGTCAGCAAACACATTGTTCTTGGCCTGGCATCGCTCGGACGTGTGCATTCGTTTCTCGGCATGACACCGAAACATGCACGGGAAATGGACGTCCGAGCGACGGCAAGACAATAACATCAGCAAACGCATTGTTCTTGGGTGGCACCGAATGCACGAAGCAGGAATGACAGCTGATGTAGTGCAGTCGGCATGTGCGGCCGAAGCGTTGACTTTAGAATCGGGTTTGCAACGGCATTGTGTTTTGTTTAATGCAGTTTACGACGGTTAGACGTGTAAGTTTCGATGCCTTCTATTACGTCGAATGGAAGCAGCAAACACTTCAGGAGGTCCGCTGGTCGGTGTTTGCTTCTTCGCAAACACTTCGGTCGGTCGCGCTGCCCCTCCGAGCCGGGCTGGCCACGGCCGCCATGGCCGGCTCGGTCTGGCCGCGGGTGCGTCGTCGATCGATCGACTGAGCATCGACCGACGAAGACGACGGCGAACCTCTGAGTCGCTCATGTTGTTCCTGCCGACGGGCAGGGTGGCTTGCAAGGATTGCCAAACTTGAGATCTTAGCATGGGACCAGAGGGGGCGAGACCTGGCCGGGCCAGCCGGGCGCCAGCTCCGACCTGACCGTGGCCAGCCGCGCGTGACCTCCGCAATGAAAAAAAAAAAACTTGTGATTTTAGCATCTCGCTCCACCCCTGTGGCCCCCTGCCGAAAGGGGCCCCACGCCCTCCTCGGGTCGGCCGGCGCGCAGCTGGTTCCGGCCCCGCCGCTGGGCACGCGTCTCTCGACGCGTGGTCGCCTCCGGCGCAGGGAGGCGCCCCCCGGGCTTCGTGAGCTGACTCGCCCGCTCCCCCCCCCTTTGATCTCTCTTCCCCCCTATCTCGTCAGCACGTATTGTCATGTGTGTGATGTATTATTGTTGTGAAGTACTCACGCTCTGCAGCCACGAATCCCGAGCGGCTGCCCTGCTTGGTAGGGCAGTGGGGAGCTATAGCTGCAGTCGGTGCTCACGGAGACCCCCGGCCGACCGCTCGGACAGCCAGCAGTCACAGACCGTCCTTGGATCACGTCCTTGGCGTGCGGAAAAGAAAACAGATTGCTGTACCCCCTATCTCGTCCGATCCGATCCTCCCTCCGTGCTTTACAGTGGTAGCCCATGCCAGGAAACACCCTGCTTGCCCCCAGGGTGCCCTGGGTTTCTGGCGGCTTGAAAATCAATGGACGTCCTGGGGTCTCAGGGTTGCGTTTCTTGTGGGAAGTTTCTTGTGGTCGAGCTCCTACGGTAGCTGTGCCCCCCGCAGCTTGATGTAGGGAAAGCCGCTCAAGCCCAGATGCAACGTTTACTCCCTCTGATCCCGTCCGCCTAACGTGGCACGGCCCTACAGGTGGCCGAAATCCGCTTACATCCGGGGGCCGCGGACGGGAGTTGAGCTCCATCCCCAGGCGTGCGGCCAGCGAGCTGGGGCCGTCATCGAGCAGGATCGGGTTTGGATCGGATGCGCGCGAGGGTGACCCCTCGCCCGAGTGTTTCATGGTGCGGGCCCACAGGGCCCTCCCCCAGCACAGGCCTGCGCGCGTGGCGTTGCCCCCCCCGCGGCCCCCTGAAGCCGCGTACGAAAGGCCACCTTTAAAGCCTTTGGCGATATGGGTCACCCTTGCGTGTAGCCGGCCAGACAGACGGGCCACGAGAGCAACGGGTCCTAAGGACTTTTTGCGCTGTCCTTGCTGCTGCGGGCTCCGTGGGGTCCCTCACGCCATGGTGCCGATCGGCATCGAGCCGCGGGGCCCGCGTAATCGCCCCAGGGGGCCAGGTCGCCAGTCGTGTACGAAGGCGGTGACGCCCCCCTGGAAGAGCCGCATCGGTCGTCTGCCTGCTCCCAGCTTCCAGGAGCACTGTGTCAGTCCTCAGGGTGTCTGTTTGGCAAATACTCAGCAGTCAGACAGATCTAGAAGGCTTGAGCCGTGAAGAAGGGTCGGACCTTGTCGAGAACACGTCCCGTAACTTGCAAGCTAACAGCATGCTTGTTTGCCCACCCGTTTGGATAAGTAAGCCAATCCGCCATGACGAGTGGTTCTTGTTCTAGAGTTGAACGGCACTGGCAGGCCACCGTGGCTCATGCTAGATAGTTGAAAGAGGGGGCGCGGCTCCACTTCTCCATGGTTCAACGGCCGTCGCGCCCACACATTGAGATCACATACCCCCGTGCACTTCGTCGAGCAAGTGCGCACCAGCCCATGGAGCGAAGTGTTTCGGGGAGGGGGCGACGGGGTGGGGACAGGCAGAAGAGGGAGGAAGAGGATGGCGGGCGCGGCAGCCCAGGACGAGCCAGAGTTCGAGACGTGCTGCTTCGGGCGGTGCCGGTACAGGCTGATCAAGACCAAGGGCGGCCGCCTTGGGCAGCTGCTCAAGTGGCTGGGCCTCGCCAAGCACAGGCATCCTCTCCAGAGGCCCAGGGGGTGATACCGGGCTCCAGATCCAGAAGCAGGCCCCCCAGATGGCGTGGTCAAGTTGCCAGGCCGCAAAGCTCCACGGAGCGAAGCATGTCGCCGAGAAAAGAAGTCCTGGGGTCTCTTCATCGGGCGGGGCTAGGACGAGGATGAATCCGGTCCAGAGCATCCCAGAACGCTCTCAGAGCGTTCCGGAATGCTCTGGAAAGGCCGCGGCGCCCGAGACCTCGAGAGCCGCCGGATCTCAGAGATTCTCGATCTATCCTCACCCGATGTTGTTCTCGTCTTGGCTTCGTCTTACTTCAAGCCAAGGTGCCAACAGCTCGGCATCGAGCGAGCCTCGTCGGTAGCACCCGAGGGTTGAAGTGGAGCGGCGAAGTTTGCGCAGCGCTGGGGCTCGCGTCCCCTCCCGTGGCCCCATTCGGTGCTCCCCAGAACCCATAAAATTGTGTGCAGCTTTCCTCCTCCTCTTCCACCCTGTCAGGGCTCGTTTCGACTCCTCCGATTCGATTTGATTCGATTTCGATGGCTTCCGATTCCGATTCGATTCGTCTTCATATTCCGATTTGGGTTCCGATTTCTAAGTGGAGGCCTCACTAGCCTACTAGCCTGCCGATTTCCGCCGATCCGACTTTTCCAGACTCCGCTGCCGATTTCCGCCGATCCGATTAATTCCGATCACCGATCCGACTTATCGATTCGATTCTGGGCTCTCTTGCCTTTCCCTTCCTCCCCTGTCTCCCCTCCGTTCTCCCAGGGGGCAGTGCACCCTTGGGGTGAGTGCATCGTTGTAGCCCTTAACGTTTCTTGGCGAGCTTGCTGGCCACGCCCCTCGGAGCCCAGGGCCACCCAGCTTGTAGGCCAGCAGCGACTTACTCGGGGACTCCCCGTAACGAGTCACTGGGTCGCCAATTCTCGGGGCGCAGGTGATAGGGGGGTCAGCCCTGACAGACACCACCCATCCCCCGCCGATCCCCCGACCTGGGTTCGGGAGCCACGTGAGCGACGTCACACGGTCGCGCAAGCTGCCCGCGCAGGGCACCGTGCGTGAGCGCCCCCGTTCCCCCCCGCGCGGCGTGCCGCGCTGGAGGCCTGCGCGAGCCGCCGCTATCCCCTCGCGCGCGAGACCCCCCCTGCTCAGATCTCCGACGGTGAGTTGTTTGTTCAAGCCCTGTGCGTGGTGTTCTCGAGGTCGGCCTCGGGATCTCGGCATCGGGACCAGGAGCCGTGCAGCAGGAACCCCGCTGAGAAAGGCTGCCTCCCCCGCGAGGCCCCCTTCTGCTTCGCTCTCTGACGGTGAGTTGTTTGTTCAATCCCTGTGTGGTGTGTTCTCGATGTCGGCCTCGGGATCTCGGTATATTGGGACCAACAAGCCGTGCAGCAGGAAACCCAGTACGAAAGGCTATACCTCCCTCGCGAGGCCCCCTTCTGCTTCGCCGCCGTGGATTGAGCAGGGACTGAACGTCCTGGCATTCCTATAGGCTTACCACGACATGTTCTTAGAACTCCCACGAATTCTAAGAACAAAAGCAATGTTCTTAGAACCCGCCAGAACTGTTCTAAGAACATGGCGTGGAAACCCCCAGAAGGTTCTTAGACCATTGTTGGGCAGGGCTTCTGGCACGCCGGGACGCCTCGCCGCCGTGGAGCCGACCCCTGCGGACCCCTGTCCGCGAGCTGCTGCGTGGCCGGCCCCCGGCCCCCAGCGCCCGCCAAGGGGGCCGGCCCCGCCGGGCCCCCCGCGTCCAGGCCGGCGGTGGACCCCGGACCAGCCCGTCCCCGACCCCTCAAGCAGTGGCGAGGGGGGAGAGGGGGGGGGGCAGGGGGGCGAACATCATGCAAACAAAGCTGCCCGAGCTCAAAGGAAAGCATGCTCCAAGGGGGGGCGGGCGTCCGGCGCGATCGCCCGCCCGCGCTCGGCCGGGGGGGGAGGGCAGCAAACGCGGGGCGGCGAGGAGCGCCCCTCTCGTGAACCTGCTGGGCCCGCGGTGGCAACGCGGGGGCCGCGCGGGGCTTCCTGAGGGCCACCCTCCTCGAACGATGCTCTGGGAACTTCTTGTGGTTCCCTCGAGAGGCTCTCAGAGCATTTCTGGTGGAGTCTGGCCTGGGTTTACACATCGGGTCTATGTTCTGAGAACGTTGCTCGTGTTCTTAGAACATGCTTGGGGTTCTAAGAACACTTCGTGGTAGGACTGTAGGAATGCCGGGACGGTCGGTCCCTGCTCAAGAAGTGCTACTAGTTGTTCATGTCTATTTCTTCGAAGTTCTTGGATTTTTCGGGGGGCCAAGATCCTTTCATCTCTAATCGTCCTATCCTGGGCCTCTTCCTGGCCATCAGGGGGCCAGGAACGATGAGAAACGAGCACAATTAGAAATGAGCACGATTAGAACTGAACGATGGGTACTAGTTCAGACTGCTGAGATCCATATTCCCAAGATTGGCATCATCTTGTCTCGGTGTCGATCTGAAGCCGATTTCGAGGGCCCCCTCACTTCCTGACCCTGAGACTGTAATCGCCCCGGGCTTGTCGATATTAGGGGTAGGGATGAGGAGATCGAAGCCTGCTACGGTCCTCCGTCTCCGCAGGTGGGACGTGAAGGCATTCGTGCTCTCCAACGTTGCCCTCGTCGCACTCGCCATCTGGACGTCTCGCGCGGCGCCTAGGCGGCCCAGAACGGACCAGGGAGTGCGACGGCGCCGACGGCAACGCCGACATTGCCGAAGGACAGGGGCAAGGGCGAGTGTTCTAAAAGCCTAGGGGGAGGCTGGGGCTTCCTCGGGTGGGCTGATCGGGGATCAACTCCCCCTCTCGCTTCTGGTGCGTTCACCATCCGATTTTGAAAGGCGCCGTCTGTCCATTTATACGTGCTCCTCTTTTCCCTCCCCTCACCTCCCTCCTCACTCCTCGTCGCTCTCCCTCCCACTCCCCTGTCGCTCTCCCGCCTCCTTCCCCTGCTCTCCTCATTCTCCCTCCCCAGTCATTGGGGCTGGAGCCCATGTGGTCGGAGGATCGCGCCGCATCGCCGATGCACATGCGACGCGGCTCGATGTGGGTCCAAGCTTCACATACGCCGACGACGCCCGTGCATCGCCGATGCATCGGCGATGCGGCGCGGACCCACTCTGCATACTCGGACCCCGTCTGGGAGTCCTCCGAGTCCTCACTTGTCCACCTTCTCGCGTCCTTCCCTCCTCCTCGGCGCGGTGGGCAGGGACCGGTGGCACGGGCTCGCGGAGTGGGGGGGGGCCCGCGGTACGCGCGTCCTGCCCCCAGGCGCCCCAGGCGCTGCTTTGGCGAAGCGGGCTCACGGGGGGCGAAGGGCGCGATCCCTGACGAGTATCCATGTGGGCGGCGCCCGTCGCGTTTCCACACGGCGTCCCTGGGAGGGGCAGGCGCGGCATCGGCGGGGCGGGCTCATGGAACGTCGAGGGCACCCAGCGCGACGGCAGGGTATCCCAAGCCGTCGAGCAGGGCTCGTAGAGTGAAAAGGGCACGGCCTTTCATGAATTCTTGTGCTTGAGATAAGGATCGCGCTCCCGCGCGACCTCCCTTGAGGGAGAGCGGCGGTGCGGCAGGGAGTGCTCGTGGATTGGGTGGGGCCACCGTGCCCGATGAACGATGAGCTATCCCAGCAGGCTTCTCGTCCCGCGCGCCCTCCCTGGAGGGGGAAGCATTGTATGGCTGGGCGGGCTTCTGCAGTGGGAAGCGCTGTGTTGGCTGGACGGGCTCGTGGAGTGCGAAGGGCACTCGTCGAAAGAAGCAGCGAAGTAGCCTTGCAAACGTCGGGCTCCCAGGCGGCCTCGGAAGGGGAAGCGCGGGATTTGCGGGGTGGGCTCGTGTAGTGCAGAGGCCACGGTCCCTGATAGACAGCACTGTTTGCGATAAGTGTGCCGCTCCCAGGCGGCCTTTCCGGATGGGGAAGCGTGGTGCGGTGGGGACTCGTGGAGTGGCATAGGGCTCGACCCCCGATGCCCTGTGCGGTGTTTCGAACAGGTGTCGCGCCCTCCACGTGGCCGCCCTGCAGGGGCGGCCAGGGCGTGGTACTGATGAGAGTCGGCGGGTCGGGCTCGTGGAGCGTGCAGGTACGACCCCCTCACGACATGTGTCGGATGGGTGATGCGCTTTCCGCACGGCCTCCCGACGAGGGGGCAGCGCGGTGCTGGTGGGGAGCGGTGCTGTGGAGTGCCGCCGAGTCGGGCGCACAGAGTGGCAGGGGCACGATGCCCTCCGTCCAGCCCCCAGGGGGAGGGGGGAGGGGTAGATCCCTCCCCGTCGGGGAAGACCCTGACCTTCCAGAGAGCTATTTTTTAGCACTGGGAACCTAAAAACCTAAAAAACGAGACGAAACAGCCTAAAACCAAGACGTAAAATAGCTCTGGGATAGGTTTTTACGTCGGGTGCTATTTTTTAGCCCTCCTGGAAGGTCAGGGGAAGGGAGTTGGAACAGGAGGCGCTCTAGACCACCTTGGCGAAGAGGGCTGGTGGGATCGAGTGCACGCGTGAGTGAGTGAGTGAGTGCTGGCTGCTTCCGGAGCGCCCCAGATGACCCACGAGAGCCCCAGGGCCGTGCCAACACGAACCCAACACGGGCCCCAAGGCGGCCCCAAGACGGCCCCGAGACGGCCCAAGGCGGCCCCAGGACGGCCCTGGGGAGCGTGAAGACGGGCCGAGAGGACGCTTGGAGGACACCCACGAGGACCAAACACATCAACAACCGAAGGCCTAGGATGCATCTTGGCACTTCCGTCTTCCTCTCGGCTTCAGACGACTCAAAGAGACCCGTCCGCAGATCAAGGGAGCTCAAGTTGTCAAGAGGAGGGCCCCTTAGGACCTCAGGAGGGCAACCAGACGGCCAAGTGTGGACCCACGCAAGCCTCAAGACCAGTCGCGCAGGCACCCAGGTGGTGTCAGGACGGCTCAAAGAGACCCGAAGACGGCCCAACCGTGGTCACTAAAGAGGCCCTCAAACTACCCCAAGATCCCACAATAGCTCCATTCGTATGGCATCGGTGGAAGAAGATATGGCTGTATTTCTACAACCACGTCACACATGCTCACTTGTGCTCAGATGCAATTTCATCCAGATGCTATTGTATACACCCTGCGAAATGCTCAAGAAATCATGGGTTAAGAAATTCAGAGTCTGCGAATTTGAATAAAAACCCCGAACTTCTATTAAAATCTTGGGATTTACATTGAAAACTTAAGAATAATCGAGACTCTGGACGAAAACTTAGGTTTTCTTAAGCATCGCCTAAGGTGTACGTATGGATGCGCATACTCATATAGACTATGGCCCTAAGAGGGCCCAAGCGGGCCCGAGCGCGCCCCGCGTCGACGCGGTGGCCACACCGGCGCGGGAGAGTGCAGGGTCGAACGCCGCCGGTGGCCCAGAAGCGGCCGACATCGCACGATCAGCCTTATCGGGATGTCGCAATCGCTCAAGGCTAACCGATCCACCGGCGAGGACTTGCGAAGTCAGCGTTCGAGGAACCAGCACCGGAGTCATCGCGGCGTGTACTTGCCGTACTGGCTCCACTTCCCCGGGAGCACCCGGCTGGCCGAGTCAGGCGGTGGAGGAGAATTCGTCGGCGCGCACACAGGGGATGGCGCGCGAGGTGGGGCGGCCGCCTAAGAAGTATGGGGACGAGGTTCTTTTAAGGCAGCAGCCTCCTTAGAAGGGCCCGGATGTTTTTGAGGAGGCTTCCAGGGGGCCGAGATGGTTTGTAAGAAGGCCCATGCCATATCAGAAGCCCGCTCGCCTGCTTCGAAGGTCACCCCCTCGCGTCCCCCCCTGGCGCGCGCTGCTAGACCCAGACATCCGACGTCGGTTTACTTGAAGGCATGGCTGTCCAGAGGTCTGGACCCAATTTGGGGACCAAGCTTTTCATCCTGAGTAGTTATTTGACGGTCCCGGTGCCCAACAAGGGACTCCAGAGGGTGACAATTGCCAGACAGTATCCGTCGTGCTTGCTTGTCCGCCATTGGAGGGAGTCTTTGGAGGATTGGGAGCGAGGAGGAGTAGGAGTAGGAGTAGTAGTAGTAGTAGGAGGAGGAGGAGGAGGAGGAGGAGGAGGAGGAGAAGGAGGAGGAGGAGGAGAAGGAGGGTGACAACGTGCAGCTGGAAATCCCCAGCGCCAAGCCGTCCTTAGACCTACCTCCCAGGAGAGGTCCGTCTGAGGGCCCCCAGAGCCCGAACAAGAGCCAGCCACGTCCCCTCCCGCCCCTTCAGGGTCCTCATCGATCCGATCGATCTGATTTGATATTGATTTTGGCCAGACCGATCCGATTCGGTCCCATATATTCCGACGATCCGATGTGGCCCGGTGACCGCATGGGGCTGTTGTGCATCTTGGCGCGGCCGGTACGATTCAATTTTGGCTCCGTGCCGGTGCAGCCCGACCCGACGCACGTTCTGGTTCGACCCGATTTTCTGAGACCCGACGCCGACTGATCCCATCTCCCCCCCACCCGCCGAAAGAGTCCGAAACGACCTCCCCTTGCTCGAGCCCCGAGGGCCCGCAGCACAGCTCGATGCGGAGGAGGAGGACGAGGAGGAGGAGGAGGAGGAGGAGGAGGACGACGACGAGGAGGCGGGGGCGGAGAAAGACGGGACGACGACAACGAGGAAGAGGAGGAGGCATAGGAGGAGGTGGAGGACGACGAGAAGAAGGAGGAGGAGGACGACGGCGGCGGCGGCGGCGATGGCGACGAGCTGGGCCTAGCCGAGGTCTGGACCCCGACTTCGCGCAGCGGGGCGCGGCGGAGTGGCTGCACCACTCCCCGCAGTTCAAGCAGGACCTCTTCTGGTGCAAGGCACCGGCTCGGCTCGACGCCACATTGCGCTCACGCTCCCCCCTCCCTCTTCTTCTCGTTTCTCGTGGGCATTGGGAGAACGCCCACCCAGACAAGGCGACTGAGGGAATTTGCCCTGGTTCACTCGGCATTCGCATTCGAGTGTGCTGGTGCAGTCCCCAGTCGGTTTCGCTGATCGACGTGCGTCTCGCCGGATACTTTCGCCGGCTTTTGGACGTCGATTCGCTACCCCGCTGGGGGGGTACTCCGTGTGCCGTGCCGTGCGCACGTGGAGGGCCCCTTGCAATTCTCACTAACGGGCGTCTTGCGAAGCGGGGTTCTGTCCACTCCCGACTCCCCCTGTTCTCCTTGCTCCTCATCGCCCTCCGCGTCGATGCTCCGGGCGATAGCTGCCGCGCCTAGGAGGTCCTTCCTCCTCCTTGTTCTCCTCCTCTGTCCGGCTTCACGCCCCCGCTGCATCTGCTGCCACTTCTACTCCTCCCCTCGATTCTCGCCCGAGCGCCCTGCGCGCGTTGACCCGCTCACTCCCACCTCCACTCCCAGACAGCGGCGCGATCGCTTCTGGATCGAGGCCCTCTCGCCCCAAGCAGGTACCCCAGCTCCCCGGCGTCATGACTTCTCCCCACGACGTGGTCCCCGAGACGGGCTTTTCGTCCAGAGTAGCTGCTTTGACGCCCCCAGAGCCCAGCGAGGTCCCCAAGAGGCCGAACACGAAGAAAACACGCCGTCTTGAGTTTCTGAATGCATTGCACGTGCTGATCGCCCCGCAGTGGGACAGCAGCAGCCCACTATCGGTCCCCGGATCCCTCCAGAGATGCAGACGCACCGGTTCCCCGTGGTGCGTCCCGCCGTGGCGACGTGGGCCCTCCCGGATGCCAATTCACCCTCGTCTCCACTCGCCCTGCTCTGCACAACGGTGCGATCGCTCCTGGCCCGAGGCCCCGTCGCCCCGAGCAGGTGGCTCTTCCTACCCCCCCGCGCGCCGTGGCAGCAATTCGGTACGCTCGAGTTCGGCACGGAACGAATGTGTGCGAAGACCGACAGCATTTCCTCCTCATTTTGAGCAGGACCCGCTGTCGGTGCCGCCACGGACGCTGTACATTTGAGAGACAGGCTCGCCCGCACCACGGCGGCGGCTGTCGGCTTTGGACAACATTTATGGTTTGGCATCGCACCATTTTTTCCGTACCCACCTCGGACGTCAAAAATTAGGCCTCCCAAGTGTGGTCAGCGTTGATTGGGTCTACGGATCGCGCCGCATCGCCGACGCATCGGCTTGATGTGAAAGCCGGTTTCCTCCGCGCCGACGGCGTCGTCGCATCGCCGATGCGGCGCGATCCTCCGACCCCATCTGTGAGGACAGCACAACCCACCCCCACCCACAGCCAGCAACCCCACTCCCGACCTGGTGATCCAGAGTGTCCTGGCTAAGGGTGGGTGGGGGGGGGGGGGGGGGGGCTCTTGGGGGCTCTCGGGGACCAACAGAACCACCCTCGACTCCAGCCAGGACCTCCTGGGATCACCGAGGTCGGGAGAGGGGGGCCCTGGCCAGGGGGGTTGGGGGAGTGGACCGTGCTGCGGGAGGCCTCTGCCACCGCCAAGATGCCCCCCCGCACCGCGCGCGCGGCGCGCGCGGGGCCGCGGCCCGTCGCCGCCCGCCGCTGGCGCCGCTGGCGCCGCTGGCGCGCGGCCGCGGCGCTGCTTCGGAGGGCACCAACTATACACCAACACCGATCCTGGCCCAGGATCACCCTGGGCCCAGGATCGGTGTATATGTGCCTTCTTGCGCCTAGGGCAGGAGGGCGTATAATACACCGATCCTGGGCCCAGGGTGATCCTGGGCCAGGATCGGTGTTGGTGTATAGTTGGTGCCTTCCTGCTGCTGGCCCTGCCCTGCGCCGCAGTCTGCGGCCCTCCGCGGCCGGGCGCCCTCGCGGCGGGCGCCCCCGCGCTGCCCGCGCGGCCCGCGCGGGCGAAAGGCCGGCCGCCGCCACGGCCCGACCTGGGAGGGAGGCGGGCCTCGCTCGGGGGAGGGAGGAGGGAGCCAGCAGGGGCCCCACCAGGGAGGAGGACAGGGAGGAGGACAGGGAGGAGGAGGAGGAGGAGGAGGAGGAGGAGGAGGAGGAGGAGGAGGAGGAGGAGGAGAAAGAGGAGAAGGAGGGCCTTTCGGGGGAGGGAAGAGGGAGCCAGCAGGGGCCCCACAGGGCCCGTTGTTCGAACCCTCTCCTTCTCCCCCCCCCCATTTCTAGTCGGGTCGACCCCCCATGACCACCCACCCGAGCCAAGCTGTAGAAGGCTTTCCCTGAGCAGGCTGACCTGTGGCAATTGCTTTGCATAGCTTCGGTAAAATTTAACCTGGTGTCACATGCCTTAGCTTCTGCAGAGTTTCTTGAAGCAGGAGGGCCTCTCGGGGCAGGAAAAGGTACCGCCCCAGGCCGCCTCGAGTCATGAGGAAGTCACGACGGAAGGTTTTTCCTCATTTTCAGCCTCCAGGGGCCCTTCCCGGGCCTCGGGGCCGTCGAACATCGATTCAGGATGAAAAGCCGGTCCCAGGGAATGGGTCGAGACCTCTCGGGGCCGACGTCATAACAAAAATATCACGTCGGGGGTTCGAGGATACCTCTGCAGGTTTCGCCTTTTTGGTCCTGGGGGGAGGCCCTCGTCGCCACCGCTGTAGTCTCCTCGAAATCCTGGTCAGAGAGCACCCTGGGAAAGGTCCGGGGAGTGGCGGCATCGGTACATTGTGGTTCCCCCGGCCTCGGCGGCGAAATGCGAGCCTTATCCTCGCCGATCGGCAATTTGCACGCCCGAAATGGGTACTGAAAGAATGGGTACGATGCCCAACAGCAGTTCCTGTTCATTTTGAACAGGACTCGCTGTCCACGCCGCCGCGGCCTGTGTCCATTCGAGACAGGAGGTCGCCTGCCCAACATCGGCCGCTGTTGCTTTGGGACAACATTTGTTTTTGGGCATTGTACCCATTCTTTCGGTACCCATTTTGGGTGTCCAAAGACAATAAAGGCAACTCGATGGGCGACGGGAGTGGGGTTCGGAACTCGCCGAGAACGTGGCGAAGCCCGCAGCCTACCCCCGCCTCCCATCGATTCAGGAGAGCCGCTGTGTGGTGTGGGCAGGGTTCGTGACGTCGCCACCGAGGGTCGGCGGAGGAGGAGGCGGAGGAGGAGGAGGAGGAGGAGGAGGAGGAGGAGGAAAGGGAGGACGAGAGGGAGGAGGACAGGGAGGAGGAGGAGGAGGAGGAGGAGGAGGTGGAGGAGGAGGAGGAGGAGGAGGAAAAGGACGAGGAGAAGGAGGAGGAGGAGGACGACGACGAGCCTCCCGCCCGCCCGCTCTTAACGCGAAGGCCAATCTCCGGCGGTATGATTCCGATGTTCAAGGGTATCCGACGTTTGCGTCGGTTCTCGGCAGTTTTCCACCCTCGGGATGCACGATGAAACCAAAGAGCTCTCAAGCTGTGGATGCGCGATGTTTGCAATGCTGCCTGACTTTGGTTCATGAGAAGAGTGTCCCTCCAATCGTGCAGCAGATCACGCGGGAAGTATCGCAATCATGCGCTGCACTGGCACGGCAACGATGCTCCGAACAGCGTCCAGCGGCTGAGCCCCGCCGGAGGCCCGAGTCATGGCCCGACAACCCGGATCTCCGACGGTATGAGCTGTTAGTCCCCCCGTTTGCCCTCGATGTCGGCCCCCGTCGCCCCTCCTAGGGGCTTGGTGGGCCCCGGGGCCACCTGGAACGTCATTATCGAGGGCGGAACGACACCCCCAGGGAGGCGGTCGGGACTTCTTTGGGGGGCCGCGGATTGACAGACCAGACCTCGAGAAGGGCTCAAGAGGCGCAGACACAAAGGAACGTTGGCTTTTCCATGGTGCATACGACAACCTTGGGAACCGCTGGGGGACAGGGAACCCCAGGAAACAAGGGAACACCTGGGATGTGTCCCCATCTGCGTGTGCCCCCGCGGGCCCCTTTTAATACCGGCGGATCTCAGGGGCTGGCGCGGCCGCCGCACGCCGCCGGGGGCCGCTGGCGCGAGCCGCGGCCGCCGGCCCAGAGGATGCGGGGGAGGAGGAGGCTTCTCAAGGGCGGCGGTAGGGGGGGGGGATGGGCGCAGGGGGGATGCGTCGACCCCCCCAATCGCCCATGGACCGCCGACAGGGGCCCGATAGCCCCAACCTGCCCAGGAACGCGCGGATTCAGTATCGAGGGCCTATCGCCGATCTGTCGGCGACGTATCGCCGATTCCAGGTCGACGTTTCACCCCTATTCCAATCCCCCCATATCGTTGCCCCTCAGCTCTCCAGGCCTCCCTTCCATGGGGTCCGAGTACGGTCGGGAACTGGCTTAGCGTGTCGCTCCGCCAGATCTGGCCCACCACGCGTTGGCGCGACGCGCTATCCACCTCCCTAGTCCCCTGGAGTCAGCGTGCCAAGCTTTTCCCAGCCTCCCGCCCCGCGGAGCGGAGCAAGGCGCTATCCGCTCACCAGGCATAGCGTGTCGCCGAGGCCGCCGCGGCGACACTCTGAGCAAACAATCCCGACTGTAAATGGGGTCGGAGGATCGCGCCACATCGCCGATGTATCGGCGATGCGGCGAGACGTGACGCTTGATTTGCTCCACGCCGACGGCGCCGATGCCTCGCCGATGCATCGCCGACTCAGCGCGATCCTCCGACCCCAATTCGGGAGGCCTCCAGACGTGCCGATACCGCTGCCCGTCCTGGAGACTTCTCGTCGCCACGCCTGGGTCTCGGGCCGGACGAAAGGGGGGGATAGGTAAAGGGGGGGGTACGAAATCTGCTGCGTGCAGCTGGTTTTTTGGCCCCACCGAGGGGCCCAGTCCTCGATACACGGGGGCGCCTCCCGGCGCCGGGAGGCGCCGGGAAAATCGGCTGCAATTGAGCTGATTCTCAATCCCCCCCCCCCTTTGCTATCCCCCCCCCCTCTCGCCCGGCCCGAGGGTCTGCCTCGGGGTGTCCCGGC